GGCAGGTTCAGGTAGCCCTGCCGAGGAAAGGCACGGGCTCCACGTTACAGTAACTACTCCCAATATTTACTCCACTTCCTAAAGGGGTTTTACTGCTGCTACTTCGCTGCTGTGGTTCAAACGCTACCGGTACCCAAATGATGGAGTTTGAAGTTGGCTCAAACTAGTTTCTGCTGCGCTGTAATCACAGCACGGGCTGAAGCACAGACACCCACTTAATTAGCTATCTGAGACCATGAAAGATGCAGCAAATCCAGAGAATCTTTCTATAAGCTCGTGTATTTTTACCAGAACGATGACAGATTTGTCCCTGTGTAGTGATTAATGTTAATTTCTCCTTGAAAATTCTGAGCTTCTATTTTATTTTGCTAACTGACTCGCCAATAAAATTATAAAAGCATAACACGCTGAAAGCTGGAATTTTCTTCCTGAGCTGAAATCAAATATTTTGACATTTATTAGTTCCATAAAACTTTGCTAAAAAAATAAACATTTTTGAGTTCATAAGAACCATATGTTCTTCTGTGTATAAAAAAGAACTGTGCTGGGACACTGAAAAAACATTCCCCGAGAACTGCATTCTTTGGGGGATTTACATTTTTTTAACCCTTTTCCTGATAATCAGGATCTAGACCACATGTCCGGAGTCACAGCACCTCTGGAGTCCCGTGTCAATACCATTAACCACGTGGCTCTACAGAGCTGAATTCCAGTATTATTCTGCATGTACCTCCACTGGTATGGCTGTGTTTGGTGCAGCTGGAGGGTGACAGGAATTACTTCCAGAAGCTGAGCAGAGAGGCTACCTTGAGCGATCGCACGTGCCTTGTATCACACGAGTCCTACAACCTATGGGGTCACTAAAGCTTCCCCAAGATTTATATTACCTCAGGAATTTTCAGTTGTCACTGGCCTACGCAACAGCAGTCCCCAGTCTTTGTGAGTAGAAGGAAGCAGCATCCGAGAAGGATGCCTCAAGGAAAGGGTGAACGACTGGCAAGATTTAGCAAACCTACAGCAGCTCAGGCTGAACAGGCTCAGACCTTGAGTCTAAACCAGGACAGATAATTCACTTCACATACATCTGACTTTAAATCAAGCTTCGCCTTCAAGCAAGGAACCATGAAATTGTCCTCATATGGTCGGTTTCCAGAGGGTTGTGAAGCATGGTTCGGGGTAGAAAGCTTGCTGCATGAGTCACTGCAATGTATAGATTAGAAAAAAGGCACAGGGCAAAATTTTGTTTCTTCATTTACAGAGATCTCATTTGTATTAATTTATCTGTTTGTTCCTGGTTTCAAAGGTTCAGGTCGGCTCCATTCTGACAGAACACAAGGCACCTTTCAGCCTGGCTCCCTGCAGTTTTCCATCTTGCAGACTGACTCTCTGGTGCCTCACGAGGCACAAACACCAGTCATAACCCTTCTCGCAGCTGGTGCCTTCAAAATCTCTCTCGTCTACCTGGATTCCTGAGCATCTAATAAGGAAAGCGGTCACACTACAGCCTCTCCCTTGGGAAGTGCAGATTTACACACCGCTGCTCTACCCTGCTGTCTATGTTCAGGCCATTTTAACTCGAAGTTAAAAGCAGCGTGGCTAAACATCGAGCGCTGCAAGTCCTCTGTGTGCCTAACGCTGCAGTCACACAGTCCACCCCAGGTCCCTACCTTTAAAACGTGGGCAACATTTCACTCTCTTGAAACACGCTGCAAGGATCATGAGAGCTACTCAGACTCTGAAGAGGGTCAAGTAGGTCTCTACACAGGCTTCAAACTTAGAGTCTTCACTGAGAGGAAAGGCTAAGTGTGTCATCTATATCCTGAAGTGCATTATTCTGTCCTGGGAAGAACGTGAATACCACATATATAAAAAAAAAAAAAAAAAAAAAAATGAACGTTACCTTCTAACCAACACCTGTTAAAAAATTAAAAAATTAGCCTTCACTATACAAATGTTCCAGCAATCCAAATTGCTACACACGACTACCCACCTCTCAAACTGAAAAGTCTTGTTTATTGATGCATGACCAGGACGGCTACACCTTACAAGGACAGTTTCCTAAGAGAAAAACAAAATACTTACAGTTAATATCATAGGTGCACACACACACACACAAAACAAGAAATACTCATCATTTCTAACATTCCAGGAGAGAGCAGTAATTAAGAATCACAAAATCCAAGGCCCTTCTCCAGCAGTCACCAGCACATGAGGCTTTAGAGCCTGTGAACTAGCAAGGCCACAAGAAAGGATCTCGAAACACCTTCACATTATTAAAGAACAGCCAACACCAAATGCTCACCTTAAGTTCACAAGCAAGATCCGAACCCTCAGCTGAACTTCTTACGTGCCTAGAAAGCCACAGGCAAGTAAAGCCAGCCTCCCTAACTGCCACCACAGGTAGAAAAAATGGCAAAAAGAGTCCTTTTTTATTACAGGGCCAGTTTTCACAGTGCCTTTTCAGATTGATTTTAAATATGTTTGTGCCTAGAACTGAGCAGAAGATGCACATTTCATAGAATAACATGCTGGTCCACAACTGTGAGAAAGAACTTCACTAGCACAATTGGTAGAATTCCACGAGTTTTTAGTGGAATCCACTTTCCAGATGGATTATATAGTAGTTCTGTAAGTCTGACAGCTATGTAAGCAGCTCTTTAAACTATTACCAGAGTGTAATCTCAGCAGTGTGGCATGCCTCACACAGCAACTTCTGTGCCCTTCTGCTCCTCGTGGCGTACGTTGCTTAATTGCAGCCAAAAGTAGAGGAAAAAAGCCATGGGGGTTTACAACAACTTGAGTGGAAGCTCAGTAGCGCACAAAATACCTCGTGTAGTTCAAGGAGGTTTCCTAGCTCACCAACTTGTGCTTACACCACAGCGTTTGATGGGAGCACTGAAATTC